GGTACGCGGGGTTCCGGTGGAGGCAACGTGACTAATGATCGGGCAGGAGGTTCTGAAGGCTCTATGGCTGCAGAAGGAGAACTCGTGCTCTGGGATGGAGCAGCTGGTGCGGCTAACATCTGAATCCGGTTCTCGAGGTGTGTGTAACCCTCCTGCAGCATTTTGATGGCTTGAGTTAGTGCCGCCAGATGCTGACATATGTTCTCCAGTGGGGATGGCCCTCTTCCAGGCTCAGTCATGGCCGTATGGTTCTGTCAGACACCGCCTGGCAGTACCTCTAGCAGTCCACAGGACAGGATTCCCAGGAGCGTGGAGTCTAAGTCCCAGTCTGCTTGTTCACCAGGGCCCCTGATGGTGGGGATGGACTTGGAGCAGACAGTGACCAGGTTGCGGCCCCTGAGTACACCGTGGTAGAGGGATCCGCCAGAGGTATATGCAGGTAGAGAGCCTGACGTGAAGAGGTTGGAAGGCTGGAGCCGTGATGACTGGATCTGTGCAGGATGGATGGATGGATGGCAGAGTAGTGAGCGTGGTCAGATGGGCCGGATCGGTAACAGTGGGGTCAGCGTAGTACAAGGCAGCAGGCGAAGAGTAATCAGGTCACTCACCGGGTTCAGTAACAGGAGTTAAGATCAGTAGGAGTATCCAGGAGAGAAGTCAAATGAGCCAGGGGTCAGAGCAGGAGAAGTCAGAGGTCAGGAGAGCAGAGGTCAGGAGAAGTCGGAGGTCAGGAGGAGAAGTCGGCAGAGGGATCAGGAGAAGTCGGCAGAGTCGGCAGAGGTCAGGATCAGGAGAAGTCGGCAGAGGTCAGGATCAGGAGAAGTCGGCAGAGGATCAGGATCAGGAGTCAGAGGTCAGGATCAGGAAGTCGGGTCAGAGGTCAGGGTCAGGAGAAGTCGGCAGAGGTCAGGATCAGGGTCAGGAGAGTCGGCAGAGGTCAGGATCAGGAGAAGTCGGCAGAGGTCAGGATCAGGAGAAGTCGGCAGAGGTCAGGATCAGGCAGGGTCGGTAAACAAGTTAATCAGCAGATACACAGGATACAAGACCATACGGCAATGAGAGTCTGTGCTGGGCAGGTTTAAATAGTGCGCCCTGTCATTGGTGCCAGGCGAGCATCCTCGATCGGGAGTGCACATGTGCGGCCGCCCAGGTCCTAGTGCCCGCCGGCTAGAATGAATCGGCGTTCTGCGCTTGCGCAGACCAGCTTGCCGCCGCGATCCCTGACAGTCCCTCATATCCTTTTCCACCATTGACCCCCAACAGATCCTTCTCCACCATTGACTCCTCCAGATCCTTCTCCCCTATTGACCCCCCCACAGATCCTTCTCCCCCATTGACCCCCCACAGATCCTTCTCCCCCATTGACCCCCCACAGATCCTTCTCCACCATTGACCCCCCACAGATCCTTCTCCACCATTGACCCCCCACATATCCTTCTCCACCATTGACCCCCCACATATCCTTCTCCACCATTGACCCCCCACATATCCTTCTCCACCATTGACCCCAGATCCTTCTCCCCCATTGGCCCCCCACAGATCCTTCTCCACCATTGACCCCCCCCACAGATTCTTCTCCAGCATTGATCCCCCAAAGATCCTTCTCCAGCATTGTCTCCTAGATCCTTTTCCACAATTGACTTCTCCAGATCCTTCTCCACCATTGACTTCTCCAGATCCTTCTCCCCCATTGGCCCCCCACAGATCCTTCTCCCCCATTGGCCCCCCACAGATCCTTCTCCACCATTGGCCCCCCACAGATCCTTCTCCACCATTGGCCCCCCACAGATCCTTCTCCACCATTGGCCCCCCACAGATCCTTCTCCAACATTGTCCCCCCAAAGATCCTTCTCCAGCATTGTCCCCCCAAAGATCCTTCTCCAGCATTGTCTCCTAGATCCTTCTCCACAATTGACTTCTCCAGATCCTTCTCCAACATTGACCCCCCACAGATCCTTCTCCAGCATTGTCCCCCCCACAGATCCTTCTCCAGCATTGTCCCCCCACAGATCCTTCTCCAGCATTGTCTCCCCACAGATCCTTCTCCAGCATTGTCTCCTAGATCCTTCTCCACAATTGACTTCTCCAGATCCTTCTCCACCATTTACCCCTTCAGATCCATCCATCACCATTGACTGCCCAGATCCTTCTCCACCATTGCACCCCCAGTTGTACCCCCCTAGTATGTATGATGCATATTCTTAGCCCCCAAGTGCAGAACCTTACATTTATCACCATTAGCCCTCATTGGCCCCATAGTCCCCCAATTACACAGAGCATTGAGGTCGGCTTGTAAGTTGGAGACATCCTGTAAGGACGTTATTCCCCGGCACAGCTTGGTGTCATCTGCAAAGACTGGAATGGGATTTATAATCTCACACCCCCCCATATTGTTTATATATATTAATAAGTAAGGGTCCCAACACTGAACCCTGGGGTACCCCACTAATAACACTGAACCCTGGGGTACCCCACTAATAACACTGAACCTTGGGGTACCCCACTAATAACACTGAACCTTGGGGTACCCCACTAATAACACTGAACCTTGGGGTACCCCACTAATAACACTGAACCTTGGGGTACCCCACTAATAACACTGAACTTTCGGGTACCCCACTAATAACCCTGAATCTTGGGGAACCCCACGAATAACCCTGAACCTTGGGGAACCCCACGAATAACCCTGAACCTTGGGGAACCCCACGAATAACCCTGAACCTTGGGGAACCTCACGAATAACACTGAACCTTGGGGGCCCCCACGAATAACACTGAACCTTGGGGTACCCCACGAATAACACTGAACCTTGGGGTACCCCACTGACACCCCCAGACCATTCACAGTATGAATCATTAACCACTACTCTCTGAATACAATCTGTTAGCCAGTTTTCTATCCATTTACATTCAGATTTTTCCATCCCGTAGACTTTACCTTACACATTAGCCGTGTGTGCGGAACTGTGTCCAAGTATACCACGTCCACCACCCACCCCTCTGTCCAAGTATACCACGTCCACCGCCACCCCACTGTCCAAGTATACCACGTCGTCCACCGCCCCCCCCCCCCCCCGTCCTAGTATACAACCCCCACCACCACCCTTCTGTCCAAGTATACCAAGTCCACAGCCACCCTTCTGTCCAAGTGTACCACATCCGCAGCCACCCCTCTGTCCAAGTGTACCACGTCCATTTGCATTCAGATTTTTCCATCCCATAGACTTTACCTTACACATTAGCCATTGGGGGAACTGTGTCCAAGTATACCACGTCCACCGCCCAACCCCTGTCCAAGTATACCACGTCCACCGCCAACCCCTCTGTCCAAGTGTACCACGTCCACCGCCAACCCTCTGTCCAAGTGTACCACGTCCACCGCCAACCCCTCTGTCCAAGTGTACCACGTCCACCGCCAACCCCTCTGTCCAAGTGTACCACGTCCACCGCCAACCCCTCTGTCCAAGTGTACCACGTCCACCGCCAACCCCTCTGTCCAAGTGTACCACGTCCACCGCCAACCCCTCTGTCCAAGTGTACCACGTCCACCGCCACCCCCTCTCTGTCCAAAGTGTACCACGTCCACCGCCAACCCCTCTGTCCAAGTGTACCACGTCCCCGCCACCCCTCTGTCCAAGTGTACCACGTCCCCCGCCACCCCTCTGTCCAAGTGTACCACGTCCCCCGCCACCCCCCGCCCCCCCTCTGTCCAAGGATTTGCTCACCTCCAATCTAACCTGTTTCATGATAGTTTAATCCCAGCTCACCTCTACATGTTGTCATGTTGTCTACAGTAAACATTTAAACTTCCACTGACAGAATACAGAATACTAATACTGTGAGTCCTGACCCTTATACTATATTATGTTGTACATTACATACTCCTGACCCCTGCACTATATACTCTATGTTGTACATTACATACTCCTGACCCCTGCACTATATACTCTATGTTGTACATTACATACTCCTGACCCCTGCACTATATACTCTATGTTGTACATTACATACTCCTGACCCCTGCACTATATACTCTATGTTGTACATTACATACTCCTGACCCCTGCACTATATACTCTATGTTGTACATTACATACACCTGACCCCTGCACTATATACTCTATGTTGTACATTACATACACCTGACCCCTGCACTATATACTCCATGTTGTACATTACATACATACCTGACCCCTGCACTATATACTCCATGTTGTACATTACATACTCCTGACCCCTGCACTATATACTCCATGTTGTACATTACATACTCCTGACCCCTGCACTATATACTCCATGTTGTACATTACATACTCCTGACCCCTGCACTATATACTCTATGCTGTACATTATATACTCCTGACTTCTGCTCTCCCCCTCCCCCCCCCCACTGCTATATATACACATAATATGGATTCTCTTTTGTTCTCCCCATTTCATCCCAGCTGAACATTTTATATTGGATGATATGATTGGAGCACAGATTTTACATGGTGATAATAATGTGATAACATCCTCCAACTTTGGACCCTTAAACAGAAAGTGATAATGAGGGAGGAGTCAATACCCCAATGATGGTGGTCTTCAGGATCAGTCCAGTCTTCATCTTGGTTGTTCTCCCCCCATCCTCACTCTCTGACCTCTGGTGGGGCTCAGCCCCGCTGTTCTTCATGACTAAATCATGGAGTAAATAAGGAAGTGCAGTACTTCTTGTGTTGGGAAGATGGCGATGAGTGATAGAGGGGGTGGGGCCCCTCGTCCTATAATCCCCTCATCACTGTCCCTCCTATAAAAGACAGTTCTGGTTGTTTCCTCACTCTCTGACTAAGGTCCATGAATAAAGAAATGACCTGGTAGGAGGTCAGAGGAGCCATTTCCTAGTTCCCTTGAGGGTGGAATTGTAAGCTCCTCAGAGACCGAGTTGCCTGATGTGAGCGGAGTCCTGGTTTGGGGGAACCAATCAGCTCCTGTCTAGTAATCCTCTTTGTCTTTGTATTTTAGTCCAGGGCTGGGAGATGAGGAAAACCTCCGAGGATTGTCTCACTTTGTCTCCAGACTGGAAAGTAGAAGATGAGGACATCACACAGTATAGTCCAGGAGAAAACCCGGCTCCCTCCAATGTCCATCCGGCACCACCCAGTGTAGATGGACCATCGGATTCCTCGTATCCTGAGGAACCTCAGACTGTGCGGGACCGGGCCGGCCTTCCAACAGAGAAGAGCTTCTCCTGTACTGAGTGCGGGAAATGTTTTTCAACTAAGTACTATCTTTACACACATCAGAGATCTCACACGGGCGAGAAGCCGTATTCCTGTCTTGAGTGCGGAAAATGTTTTTCAGCTAAGTACTATCTTTACATACATCAGAGATCTCACACGGGGGAGAAACCGTATTCCTGTATTGAGTGCGGGAAATGTTTTTCAACTAAGTCCTATCTTTCCATACATCAGAGATCTCACAGGGGGGAGAAGCCGTATTCCTGTCCTGAGTGTGGGAAATGTTTTTCAACTAAGAACCATCTTTACTCACATCAGAGATCTCACACGGGAGAGAAGCCGTATTCCTGTCCTGAGTGTGGGAAATGTTTTTCAACTAAGTCCTATCTTTCCATACATCAGAGATCTCACACGGGGGAGAAGCCTTATTCATGTCCTGAGTGCTGGAAATGTTTTTCAACTAAGTCCTATCTTTCCAAACATCAGAGATCTCACACGGGGGAGAAGCCGTATTCCTGTCCTGAATGGGGAAATGTTTTTTTCAGAGAAGTCCAGTCTTTACGCACATCAGAGATCTCACACGGGGGAGAAGCCACATTCCTGTCCTGAATGCGGGAAATGTTTTTCAGGGAAGTCCCAGTCTTTACACACATCAGAGATCTCACACGGGGGTGAAGCCACATTCCTGTCCTGAATGCGGGAAATGTTTTTCAGAGAAGTCCAGTCTTTACAAACATCAGAGATCTCACACGGGGGAGAAGCCATATTCCTGTCCTGAATGCAGGAAATGTTTTTCAGAGAAGAAGTCCCATCTTTACAGACATCAGAGATTTCACACGGGGAGAAGCCATATTCCTGTCCTGAATGTGGGAAATGTTTTTCAGTTAAGTCCAGTCTTTACAGACATCAAAGGTCTCATACAGGGGGAGAAGCCGTATTCCTGTCCTGAGTGTGGGAAATGTTTTTCACGTAAGTCCAATCTTTACACACATCAGAGATCTCACACAGGGGAGAAGCCGATTCCTGTCCTGAATGCGGAAAATGTTTTTCACAGAAGTCCGATCTTTACACACATCAGAGATCTCACACGGGGGAGAAGCCAGCCATTTCCTGTCCTGAGTGTGGAAAATGTTTTTCACGGAAGTTCCATCTTTCCAAACATCAGAGATCTCACACGGGGCAGAAGCCACATTCCTGTCCTGAGTGAGGGAAATGTTTTTTCAGCTGAAGTCCTGTCTTCCTGTACATCAGGGATCCCACACACCCTGGAGGTGTATTAGTGCCTTGCTGAATGCGGGAAATGTTTTCTAGATGAATGTTGCTGGACATCCCAGCTCATGTGGGGAGATTTCACACCCTGGGGAGATACACCTCAGATATACTCCATGGCTCCATCATGGGAAGAAACAGTTGATAAGGAGATGAAGGCCCCCAAAGACATGGATGAAGTGGAGTAAATGTCGGGGTGCAGAGTGGTCAGTAGATCCTGGAAATGAAGGACACAACTTCAGCCCTTCTTGGGTGTCGGAGTTGCGTTTCCTGATAATGATATAGCGGGTTACAGAGCTAGAAGCCGGGAGAGCCCAGATCTCGTTATCGGGGGAGAACTTTTCCACAGACAACAAGAACTTCTGAAGTTGATTTTCCTTCATTTCAAGGCTCTACAGAACAGTGGTGACCCCGAAGCATCTCTCTGTCTTCAGAAGCCATCCTTCTCCCATCCCCCAACAGGAGGGAGGGAGAACTCCGCCCCGCTAGGAGGGAACATTCTTCTCATTATTTCCCTTGGCTTCTGTGTGGGTTTTAGGTGGTTGGAGGAGTGCGGCACGAGAGGGAAATGCTTGTTGTTCTATGTCTACATATGGGGTCTCATGGGGGATGGGATCCACCCTGAAAATATTGCTACTCTTTGATTTTGTGCAAATCGTTTCTGTTTTCACTTTGAAGGGCGATATTATGTGTGGTTTGTAAAAGGGATTGGCCCAGTAGATACCGCCCCACTTAGAGAATAGATGAACTAATATGACCAGCATTCATTCAGCCAGTCACATGTTGGGATCTTTTCATACAGGGATTTTTCCTATGATAATTGGCTCCATCTAGTGGCCATAATGTGGCTATTAAACTGTTTTTCCTGAGTGAGGTATTTTGGGGAAGTAATACATCATTATGGCCACTAGAGGGAGCTGATGATTATAGGAAGTCACTTCATTTTTAAAATATGGCCAGAATTTGTCACAGCTGGACACATGCTTGTCTTCAGTCCCCCCTATTTTTTGCATAGACCCCTTAGTTTACTATGTTAGGGGTAAAGGAGAACAAATACCTGAGATCATACATTTTCAAACATTGAAGATATAAATTACATAAAACCCTTGAATTAAACCAACCATTGATTTAAAACCAAACATACCTCATTTGGCCTTTAGATGATACTACACTATCCTAGCAATTAGCACATCTAGTGTCCAAATTCTCAGGGAACACCTGAAAAACAATTGATTTAGCTGACTAAATCAATTGTTCAGGTGTTCCCTGACACTTTGGACACTAGATGGTGCTAATTGCTAGGATTTCTTAGCGTTTGAAGGCCAAATGAGTATTTTTGGTTTTAATCACAGGTCTGCAATACAAAAAATGATTTATAAAAATAATTAATCTGAAAAATTCTTTAAGAACTCAAACAAGATCTGTGTAGGTTTAGTTTTCATACAGGGATTTCCTGACATTGGCTCCATCTAGTGGCCCCGGGTATTAAACTGTTTTTCCTGAGTGAGGTAGTTTGGAAGTAATACATCATGTTCACCAGGGCCCCTGATGGTGCTGATGGACTTATAGGAAGCGCTCCGGAGTGACCATTAAACTATATGGCCAGAATTTGTATCTCCAACAGGGGTGGACACATGCTTGTCACACTCCCCAGAGCTAGGAGTCTGATGTAAGGGAGCCTAGTGATCCTGCGGGGGGGATGGATGGATGAGCCTAAATCATAGTCATGCTCGATAACTAGAGGATCGGTAAGGTACAAAACGGTAGGCAAAGGAAGTCGGGTCACAAACATGATTTAAAACCAAATACCAGGAGGTCATTCTAAAGGGAACATCCGTATCCTAGCAATCAGGCAAGCCTAGTGTCCAAAAGGGAACACCTGTCAAAACAATCCAGATTTAGCTGTACTCAAATCACAGGTAACAGGTGTTCAAAGACCATTCGGCAACTAGTGTCTGTGCAGGGGATAGCTTAAATAGGCCGCCCTCATCTGACAGGCGTAGCCTGGGTCCTATTTTTGGTTTTGTCACAGTACTGTCCAACGACAAAAAATGGGTTAGTAAAATAACTTAATCTGAAACCTACGCATGTCTTTAACCCATGAACTCAAACAATGGTCTGTGTAGGTATAGACTGCAGAGTATGAAAATCAATATTTATTTACATAAGTCACTTACAAACACCATAAACAATAGTCAGATTGTGATTTACACTGACACTAAGATGTTTCTGTAAAAGCTCTAAAATAGAGTGAATTAAATTCAATAATCAGTTTCTCCCTGTAAACATCATAACCAATAAAAAACAGACAACAATAATCTGTCTCCTGCAGAAGGAATAAACTATGCAGAATAGTCCACCACTATGGCCTAAGAACAGGAACATTTTTTTTTATAAATGACTTAACTTGAAATGATGTTATCATGGGGAGAGTTATTAGGTTACACAAAGGAATGTGGCAATTGGCTTACTAGTCTAAGCAAGCAAAAAATCAACAGAAAATATATAATTACCCTCCAAGTATCAGGTAATCTTTTTGGAGAACTGATGATCAGACTCAAAGATGGCTGCCAATTAACGGTTGGGATTGAGCTTCCACAAAATGGCATCTCTTCTTCAGTGATAAGTGTCTTTAGATGATCTGAGTGTGAGATGATGTCTACCTTCCAGATGGCTGTGTAGATGGTCCTCCCTCTGTGAGTGTTCCTGCCAGTTTTTATCTAGTTATGACTAATAGACTCATCAAATCTGAAAAAACCTGGCCAGGAGGTGGAACCTTCTCTGTGATTGGGGAATCTGATTCTCTAACCCATGTTTACTCAAGCATTACCTCCCATGGCCACTGGGTGTCATCCTTGGATAAGAATTGTCTGGTCTGAGTTTTTTTGGGGTCAGAAGTAACTAATCTGTGATCAGGAAAAATGAATATTTCACTATAACAAATTGGCCCTTGTGAAATCTATAGAATGCCTTGGAGAGTAGATATTATTCCTCATTTACAATCATTATGTTTTGGTGTAACAGTGATTAAATGGAGAATTGTAACTATCAGGAGGTTGGATTACATAAAGCGATTAGAATAATAGTTGTACACACAGAGGAGAGATAATAAAAGAATAATTTGTATACTGATCTACTGATTGATTACGGCTTTGGTAGCATGCATACAATATTCCTAACAATACCGATAAACTCCAACACACTAAATATATATCATGGGATTACAAATCAGCAAACATACCATAATATACGTCCTACATTCTTATGAGACAATCTGGTATTTTATCCCCATCACGTCTTTTCATATAGCATGAATTATATGGAAACATGGAGGTTCCTTTTTGTACCTTTTCACGAAAACAAAATGAGTCTCAGCAGTGTTACTGGAGTCACCTTGTTACATAGTTACAGAGTTCATCTGGATGGAAAAAAGACACCAATCCATCCAGTCCAACCAACAGAAAAAACAAAAATGTATGCAGTAAGTAGTAAAAGCGCCTAAGTATATAGGTAACAAGCTGCTATGCACAAAAAAGGTACCAATATCACCCTAGGAAATAGCAATGTATATATAAAGTGCAGCGCTTGATGTTAAAACCAATGTGTGTAAAGAAAAGAAAATAAATCCTTATTAAATTGTAAATATATATAAATAAAAAAAGTTCAAAAGCCGAAGAAGATAGTCCAGCAAATCAATATAAAGATATAAGTGCTCAGGTGACTTAGAGATCCGGTACCCGTGTGGTAATGATAAGGCAATGCGCACTCACCGGACGCGCATAATAAATGCGGTTTTGTGTATAAATAATCCCGATGTCATCTGATAGTGGGTGGTCCTCCCTCTGTTGGGTATGAGGCTGATGGTCCTCTTCCACTAGGGGTCCCCCTATGAGCTCCTGGTAGGTGGTATCCCTCTGGTTAGGCTGGGTAGCAGTAATCCATCCCGGGAGTGTGTCTGTGGACTAAAGTACTCCCCCTTCTCGCCAGAGATTCTGGGCAGCAGCACGCAAATGTCATCACAGCTGGCTTTCCACTCTAATGCAAGGTGGATCCGTTTACTCTGAGTTTATTCTTGATCCAGTGCTGTGCTCTGCTGCATCTCTTCTTTCTTTTCCCTGGTCCCACTAGAGCAGTGGTCTCCAAACTTATTGGTTGATGGGTGGAGGGAAGGGAAACATAAAAAACAAAACACACAAATAGAACAATACATGAGGAAATGCACATCTTACTGTAAAGGTCTCAGTAATCTATAAACAGAAGAATCCAGAAAAGAACTCTCACAGATCTGCAGCTTTGTAGAGTTAGCATTCATAATACACGGCTCAAAAAATGAAAGAAAGACTTATTAATCAGAGTCTAGCATCAAGTCAATGAGACTCCTGAGATATTGATCTGGTCAGTGAAGTCGCAGAGGGGGCTGTTAATCAGTTTCAGCTGCTTTGGTGTTAATGAAATTATCAGGTGCACTAGATGGGCAACAATTAGTCAACCCTCGAAACAGGAATTTACAGGTGGAGGCCACTGACATTTTTTTCCCTACTCATCTTTTCTGACTGTTCTTCACTAGTTTTCCTTTTGGCTAGGGTCAGTGTCACTAC